GTGTGTGTGTGTGTGTGTGTGTGTGTGTGTGTGTGTGTGTGTGTGTGTGTGTGTGTGTGTGTGTGTGTGTGTGTGTGTGTGTGTGTGTGTGTGTGTGTGTGTGTGTGTGTGTGTGTTTCCCCCAAACGGGCATGGGAGTGTTGTCTGAACCAACGTCCTCGGCAAACTTGTCAGTTGCTCGCATGATTCATGGGGAAATGCTTCGGAGGGTTGCTGTGAAATGCTGAGGTTGCCATGGTTTGGCACCCAATCCTTGTGGGGTCATAGACGAAGGCTTGGCGGTCAAAGAGCTCGTTGTGTTCGTCGGAGTCCAAGTCCTCAACAGGCACTTTGTCTCCGTGCTTCGTGTTGTATGCCACGTAGAAGATGTCCTTCTTCCACTCGTTGGCCGTCTCGTTCCGGCTGATCAACCCCACATGGATCAGGAGAATGGGGCCTTCGAACCTCATGAGCACCACTGAGTAGGCCAAATGCAGCCCCACCCCCAGCGCCGCCGCGCTCGTCTTGGTCGCCCCCGTTTCCGCGAGGTTCGCGAGGAAGGCCACCGCCAGGAAGAGGTCCACCACCAGGCCCAGCAGCGCGATGGAGGCCAGGCCAAGCCTTGGTTGCAACGACCCCTCAAGAAGATTCACCTTTTGCGGGTTTTTAATGGAAAACCCCCAAAGAAGTCAAAGTCTAAAGAGTCAAACCCCCAAAGATTTCAAGCAAAAAGTGGTTCAGTCTAAAGATCCGTTGCCCAATAGCACTCAAGCAGCAGCATCACGAAGAACTCCCGGTGGTTCAGCAGGCCAATGACATTCATCAGCCACCGGCAGTAGTGGTCATAGCGCCGGATGGGCCGACTGTAGAGCCAGGACTTGTGCGTGCGAGTCGGTTTCGCTTCCTCGAGGTCAGACGCGTGGGGCGCGTTCCGGGTCTTCCGAGCCTGGCCCGGGTCCGCGAAGATGCAGTAGATCATGCACCCCAAGGTCACTGCACAGAGCAGAGCAAAGCTCACAGAGAGCACCATCCGGGGCCAGTGGGTGATCTGACTCAGCAAAGGGATCTGAAGCACCATCATGCCTTGGTTGCTGCAACGACCCCTCTGCTTAAAAGTGTCTTCAACTTTTGCTGGGTGTAGTTCGGAAAACCCCAAATGAATTCAACCAAGAAGTTCTTCAGTCTAAAGATCCAATCCAACCCAATAGATTTCGCCGCCCAGATGCACAGCCCACCCATCAGCGTGGACGCGGCAAGAGCCGCTGGTAACGCGGGCTTCGGGTCCAGCCCGCAGACCTTCTCCTCTCTCCTTGGCACCCAGCGACCCAGAAACCGAACCGGATGCCGTGCAGGGCGCCTTCCTTCCCCCAAGCAGTGGTTGGATGTTCATGAGCTGTCACAGGTGTGTATATATATATATACATATATGCATAGATGCCTATACAATTGCATATACATATATATATATACATATATATATATATACATATATATATATATATATGTATATATGCGTGCATACATATAGTGTGTGGATACCTCTTCATACATGTTGCATATATGTATATTAAATATTACTCTGTTTATATACGTATGTAGATCCATGTATATGCAGGGTGAGAGAGTACTCAAAAAGGGCAAGCGGAAATTTTCAGACCTTAACTCTCAGCCCATGCGTACACCACCCAACTGACCTCGTGGATTGGTCAAGAGTCCGAACTGTTTACCCCTAAAACGGTGACTAGGCCCAAAAGTGACTAAAGTCCAACTCAAAAAGTGAGCCGAAATGAATTGGCGCAAGGCTGTGTAGTACCTGGTGTAAGACGACGAAAACACGGGGATTGTCTCCAAATGCGGGAACCTCAAAACGTGGTTTGCCTCCTCCCCAAAGACAACAAAAAGTGCTTCTCTCGGAAAAGGCTCCAGCATCCCCGCTACCTGAACGGGAGGGTGGTACGGAGTCTGGGACCCAATTCCACCACTTATCCAGTCTTCCCCACAAAAGGCCAATGGAACCATCTTTCTTCACATCACCCCCCTCCCATTCCATTTCTTTAGTGGAGCACGCCCCCCAGCCCCTAGCGTAGCGTCGGGCCCTTCTCCTCCGCCCCGAACTTCTCCTTGTCGCAATCCTCTTCGCAGGGCTCCTTGCGCTCCCTCGGTTTAACCGAACACGTCGGCTTCAAGGGCGCCAGCTCGCTGTAGGGCGACGACATCACCAGGCGCTCGCCTTGCTTTTCGTTTTTCTCTCCGACGCAAAAGCAATGCCTTGAGATTCTGGGGATGTGTTGGGGATTGCTGCACTTGGGAGGTGCTTAAAATGGCCCTTTCCCAAGAACACATGCCTTTTTGAGACAGCCGGGGGGATTGGTGCACTTGGGAGTTGGTCCAAATGCTCGTTTCATTAAAAAAAAAAAAACACTTTTGCTTCCCTTTCGGTCGTTTCCCCCCCAAAAGAAACATGGCCATGTTGCTTCCCTTTGTTTGCTTTCCATGCCCCGCGTTGGGCAAACTCATTGATCGATTTTCGTGGCGGTTACCCAAGTTGGAAGTTGGGCAGGGACCAATGCCAACTGGGTTGCTGGTCATTGGCAGGGATTGCTTGGAGACCTGGGGCATGGCAAGCGGAGATCCCATCTTGGACATCTGGGGCGTAGCAAGCGGAGATCCCATCTGACTTCCGTGGGGGAACGCCCCCGCACGGACGAACTTGAAGTCCCCGGGTATGGTCGGTCGGTACATCCTCCAGGGATTCGGTACCCCCTCCAATCCATGGGGGGCAAACGAGGCACCTCCAATCCATGGGGGGCAAACGAGGCACCTCCAATCCATGGGGGGCAAACGAGGGAAGCTTGATCCACCTCTTTTTGGGTTGGCACGTCGCCCGGTGACAGTTCTCTACATTAGGTTTCCTTTTGGACCCCTCTGAGAACCCGAAGTGTTCATGGGTGGCTGCATGGGTGTCAGTAGGACCGATCCGCTGGGTCGGGGTCGGCAAGGGTCCTCTGCTTTGCACACCTCGGGTCCAACGATGATTTAAGAGACTCCAGGCTTAAGATCTCAAGCAATTCGATGTTGGACAATCCCGCGCCTGGCCGAAATAAATCGAATTACGGGCTGCAACTGCCAAGTGCCAAGCTGGACAGCCCTTGAGCAGAAACGCCGCAAAGGTGCACGTAAAGGTTTGCACCCGTTTTTTTGTTTGCTTCGGAAGTGCCCAAATATGGGCACCACGACTCCTGACTCGTGTGGGCAATGGTTATGCAGCTCCCTGGAAAAGGCATCCTGATACATGGTAGAGTTCCCGCCCCCTCCCCCCCCTCCCCCGCCACAAGAAAAAAGAACAACATCCATTTCCCCAGCACCCCAAGTTCTTTTAACCGCGGCTATGACTCCACGCAACCGCGCCTTGAATGCGGAGCCATCGAGCTTGCCTGGCTATGCCGCGCCCATAGCCCCCCTCAGTCACTCAAGCCCCGCGTCCTTTCCACAGCCACTTTCCCCAGAAATTGGTTGGACTTTTGCCGCAAGTTGAAGCGAACGGCCAGGAAAATGAAAGCGGAAGAGCATACCAAGCACGTTCAGAGGCGTGTACTTGATGGTTGTTCAAAGCAAACCAACCAAACACGTCCTCAATTTTTCGGGTCTCCAAACCCCGACAAGACCCCCGGCACGGACACGGGTCTTTTTCGTGTCCACCTTCTCGGGCCTTCTAGGAACCTGCGCAGAATCAATCATCGGCTACCTGTAAAAAAAAAAATGCCGGTTAGGGGAGTCGGATGGGACACCCGCAAAAACGGGAGGGGTGTCCTTTCGGTGTCCCAAGCCGCCAGTTTTGAGTACCGAGGGCTAAGACTCGGATGGCCGGCCTACGGGCTTCTGAAACTCGTACGCGGCGAAGGCCGGAGCCGGGTCCTACGCGTGACCGAAGAAGGGAGGGGCTGCTTGGATGGACAAAATCCGTGCCGATCGGCAGGGTTTTGGTGGGTCAACAAGAATCTTGGTGCAGGAGTTTGTCGGTATGTCCCCTTCAACCATTGCCCTTTTGCCACGAGACTCCAAAATTGGGCCAGATGCTGATGCTTGAATCACCCACACAAAGGATGGCCTTTGAAGCTCCCAACAACTTAAGAGATGCACAGTAGATGTGGGTTACCCTTAGGAACGCCCGGGCACAACTTGTTTCTGCGTGTCAATGATTCCCTGCCAAAACGTGCAAACTTGCTTCTGAGACTTATGAGCACCTGTCTGATCTCTTTGGGCTCGGTCCAAACAAAACGCAGCGACAAAGCGGATGCGCTTTCTTGAGGGTACCCTTTTGTGCTTTGTTCTGAATTTGATCTTGGTGCTCAGCAGGGAATGAGGGAATGAACCTAGGGATTCCCTTAAAGGAAGCCAGAGGGGAATGTTTTCCTTGGGGGCCATTCCATTTCTCATTCCCCGAGAACCAGCAAGTTACAAGGGGAAAACGGAAGGCAACCCCGACTTTCCGCATTTTAAGAGGGCTTCCTTTGACACCCCGACATTCCGCGGCCTGCAGGTTGCCAGAGCTCCATCCACTCTCCATCTTGATGCTGGGCTCCTGGACCCACCATTAAAAACTGTTGGGGGTGCAGCAAGCCACACCCAATTTGGAGAAGGGGCTGCCGCTGTATGGCCTCGATAAAAACACGTCCCTTTGGGAAATCGGGAACAAGTCCGCCATTTCTGGGGTCAAAGCTCTTATTCGACCCCAGAAACACTCAACCTGGTGCATTGTTAGGGCCCAAAAGTGAAGCGTTTTGTCTTAAATGGGACACGCCCCCTCCGCTGAAGTGTGCGTGCTAGACCGCATCCTTACACCACGCTGCACCTCCATCAATACGGTCACCCGTTGAGCCGGGGTGCTCCAAACTGCCAAGAAGGCTAGAAATTGTTGGCTGCACGGAAGCCGACGCAACTTCTTCGCATCATGTGGCTAGGTCATCTGAATCGAAGCTCATCTTCCCTTGTGGCTAAGTCATTGCAGGTTTCGGTCCTCGCCCGAGAAGCTAAAGACCTTGTGCCCGAAAGCTGACCTCTGACTCTCTACCTGGCTGGCGCGGCGACTCAAGGCGAAAGGTTCGGCGACGGAAGGAACCTTACTGGAAAGCAGGAAAAGTCACAGCGAATACCCTCCAAACATGAACACGGAAGCCACCAGAAGGTTCTCGAAACATTTCGGCACCCCCAACTTCCACAGTGGGCGGGATCCTCAATGAGCAGGAGGCAACCAAAAGTGCTCATTTGTGCAGGAGTCTCGGGGGTATCAGGGCAAGTTGGGCACTGGTTTTGATAACTTCGAAATACAACACCATCATGATAACTTCAACCAAGGGGGGACTCAGACCGCCCGTCCGCGGCCAGGATCGTCCATGGGTGGAGTCACTTCCCTCGAACGATCTGAGAGAGTGTCCACCTCGTGTACGCAGTCAGGAATGGGACTGGTTTGAAGGCTGGCTTTGGATTGCTTTAGGGCTGGCTCTGCTTGGGTCGTTTGATAACCTGATACAACGCTACTTAAAACCAAGCTAATAGACGCCTCAACAAAGGTCTTAATCAGCCGGCAGCCTGCAGCCTACCCCAGCAACATGACCAGCCGAACATCAGAGCAAAGCAACGCCAAGATCGGGTGGGGGGTAACTGAGCGGGTGCCATTTACTGCCAAGCGGCTGCCAAGAACAGGAAAACAAGCCGACCCGGCGAATGGGTCGGGAACCATAAAAACCTGGACCTGAGTCATAACCAAACCGTGACTCAGACAAAGAAGATACCCCAAAAAATGGGAGGTACATGTAAGTCCCTTGCGCTGCGTTGCTGCGATCTCTTGGGGATGTCCCCCGGTGGTCGAAGCATTGCCCTGCACCAGTAGCGCAGTGCTCTTGGGAATCCTCTCCGTGATATCAACAAGGGTCGCGACTACTTCTCCACTTTGAAGGAGCTTCTTCCCTTGACTATCACAAAAAGTGGGCCCTAACGCCATAGTTGGGCTCCTTTGTCCCGCAAAATGGCGGGTGTTTGCCTTGTTGTCCCTTCAAACCAACCCCAAAACCGGTGGTCGTCCCGGGAAAAAAACGGAGAAAAAAAAACAGGGAAAAACAGCGCCGACACCCGCCTCAAAGGTCGGGGAGCTCTGCAGCGGCGTGTCCAACACCTGGTGCGTTTGGTGGAAAAATGCGCCGCTCGAGCGATATCCGCACCCACTTATGGCAAGGATTTTCCCCTACTACCCTCCAATTACCCGGGGTTTGATTGTGACTACAGTGCCGTATGTGGGGTCCGTGTTGTTTCAAAGGCAAGGACAGCGATCATTCCGGCACCCTGAATTTGAAGGTGGTGGGGACGCTTTTGGAGAATGGGAGCTTTACGTACATGAGGGAACTAAGGGGGAAGGGTCCGATGCGAGTACAGCCTCACCATACATGTAGGGGGTGCGCGGCCATGAAACAAGTTTGAAAGAAGGAGCATCGTCTTTTTGGGAACCTTGACGAGTAGAACAATTCGAAAAGAAATACAAGCATAGGTGGCCTTTTGGTAAAATAGACGGCCCTGGCAAAGGGAATAAACCCCATCTAAACCAGTGGAACCCATCTATTTTTATCCAAGCTAACCTACAAAGGACACCTATGAACTCGTCCGCCGTGCACATGATCTTCTGTGAGGTCATCTCATCTTGAGGTCAGTGACACGAACCAAATCCTGCCTGCCATCTCGCGTTCACCCAACACGTTTCTAAAAAGGACAGGCTCGTTAGACGATGAGGGGCAGAGTCGCCATTTAACACGACACGTTCTCGCCAAGTCTTTGACAATGCCAAAGGCCCGCGTCGCAATGTTCCTGGCTCTTGTCTTGCATGGGTGATCACAGGCGTTTCCATATCTTTGGCGTCTTGAACCAACCCTCTGATCCGTCCCGCAAGGTCTGACCACATGTGCAACGCACACAAGCTGCGAATGAGGTCCAAGGGGCATCAACACGGACTTAGCCCATTGCAGTTGCCTGACTGGTCCAGACATCGGACCCTACTGTGGATGGACGAAATCCATTTCGCACCCACCTAAGAAATCCTGGAATGATGATTCCCAAATAGTTGTTTCAGATGGTTTGAACGTGGTGCGAAATGGATGTTGTCCAGCCACAGTATCACCCTGCCCCGACATTTGGCTCAAAATTAGGATAACCCCAAAATGGAACCCTATATGGAAACATCCGATTCCTGGTGGTTGAATTCCGACCGGTCAACACCAATGGTACCATTTTGGGGTAGGTGAATTCACCACCCATTTCAGTTGTCTATTTTAGTGGTTGGATTGAATCGGATGTTCACTGGGGGCTACTTGATTTGGGTTTTGACCCATAGCCATTTCACCCCTTCACCCGGCGCCGCGCCTTTGGCACCGTCTCGTTGATGAAGGAAAAGGTCTCGTCGCGAGCCTCGCCGAAGGTCCTGGGGAGAAAACGAGCGCGCAACAGCCGGAGGGGCTTGACATTTGGCGCGCCTTTCGTTGCGAGGTACGCCAAGGAGTTGTCCCAAGTGCTTCTAAAACCGAAATTGATTTGGGTAAGGGATCTTTCGACCTGCTTTTTCATGGTAATCAAGAGGTGATACGAACTGACATTTTGCGCGTCTTGCGTTGCAAGGTACGCGTCTTTGGCTGCGCTTGGGAAACTTTGTGAAGCCATGACTCCTCCAGTCGAATGGGCATTGAAATGCGCATGGGGGGCCGGACATGGTCTATCTACTCGCGTTGAAATTGAATGTGCTTAAAAACAAATCACGAACCACCAACACTGATCTTGGCAGGGGCTGTCATTCCCAGACACCGGTTGTTACCCTGCGCCTAATCAGTTCACAAGTTGAAAAGCACAAGGAGTTTGACTCATACATGTCCGCGACGCGTGGAAAACAAAAAACCTGCAGTAACCGCACAAACGAAGGACCCATACTGGAGGTCGGCCGAGTTGTCTAGAAGTACACGGCGTGCTGGTTGTTCAGTACGACAATAGGAAGGATGGATGCCTTTCCCTGCCACCGACCATTGCGCGATGAACCACCACAAGGACAGGACATATTGCCCCATAGTTGGTACATGAGCCAGCGTCCACTGTCAACCACTTCCACTAGCATCCAGGCTATGGATTCCGGTCCAACTGCTTGTTTGTTAGAACGACCCGCCGAAACTCGCAAAAGAAGCGTAGGTATCCTCTCAAGTCGTTTGCGTAAGTCAAAGGATTACCCATCGGCCCGTGCCGCGCTTCGCAAACATCTAAGTTGGCCGTCTTGCGCCAAAGCCCCCCGCAACGCAACATGAATGACTTGGTGAGACGAACTGACCGTGCGCAACTCCTGGGCAAGCAAGCCACATAAGGCATGACTCCATGGTGCATGATGGCATCTCATCATATCTAAAGTACCACGTGTCTGTATTTTCACACCGGAACCTTTCAGCGTTCCCAAAGAAATTTCGATTACCGGAAATGTGTTTCAAGCGAGACTGCCTGCAAGTCAGGCCCATATTTCGTGAGCCTTACATTTCAACCAAGTGTTCAGGGACCTGCTTCGGATGGTTGCAAAATCCATGTCGCAGCACCTGAGAAACAAACGCGATTTGCCCTGGCAAATACCAACAAACACTGGCCTTTTCCATGGTTTCAAAGTGGTGCGAACAGATTTCGCCACCATCCACAGGTTGGAACACCGGTTGGAAGTATGTACAAGTTCCCACGGGCACCTTCCAATTCCATTCTGAACCCAGGGATCCGAATCTTTCTAGAAAACCTCCGGAAACCCAGCAGGAAAACGGATCTGGTTTTTGAAAAGAACCACAGTTGAAAGGAATGCAAGCGGAACCAACCCCTAGAAAGTTGTTTCAAACAAACAAATATCAATACTACGACTCCGACTACGACTACTACTACTACTGCTACTACTGCTACTACTACTTTCTTCTTCTGCTACTGCTACTACTGCTACTACTACTACTGCTACTACTACTACTACTGCTACTACTACTACTGCTACTACTGCTACTACTGCTACTACTACTACTACTACTGCTACTACTACTACTGCTACTACTACTGCTACTACTACTACTACTACTGCTACTACTACTACTACTACTGCTGCTACTACTGCTACTACTGCTACTACTACTACTACTGCTACTACTACTACTACTACTGCTGCTACTACTACTACTACTACTGCTACTACTGCTACTACTACTACTACTGCTACTACTACTACTGCTACTACTGCTACTACTGCTACTACTACTACTACTGCTGCTACTACTACTACTACTGCTACTACTGCTACTACTGCTACTACTACTACTACTGCTACTACTACTACTACTGCTACTACTGCTACTACTGCTACTACTACTACTACTGCTGCTACTACTGCTAGTACTGCTACTACTACTACTACTACTACTACTGCTACTACTACTAGTACTACTACTACTACTGCTACTACTGCTACTACTGCTACTACTACTACTACTACTATACTAATAATAATAATAACTGTTCAAGCAGAGCTCCATCTGCATCCCCAAAGCCAGCGGGGCCGGCCGGCCCATTTGGGCACCCGAGCGTCATCAGCTCGTTGGTGCGGCTAAGGTCCTGAGCGCTGATGCGTGGTTCCCCGTTTTTGGGGCTGGTCTTCTTTGTGGGGCACGCCCCCAAAAGTTCGTGGCTGGGTTTCCCCTTCAAAACCACCCAAAAACCAGGGCACCCTCAAAAAAAGAGAGGGAAAGAACAACCATATGTCTCTCCCAGCATCATCCCTACCAAGAGAAATTCACCTGAGTCGTAATCAAAACCTGCCACTAACAATGGTCTACCCAGAGCCCATGTAAAGAAGTAAGAAGGCGGCTGCGCCCATTTATGGTTGGGATTATCCCTTACCAACCTTCGTTCACCCGCGTTCTGACTGTGGCTCACCTATGGGCCGCAAAAGGCGATGCTTCACACCTTAAAAAAAAAGACCAAAAATACCCCAATAAAGTTAAATTTAATTAATTCTTCAAACAACAAACTACAATTTATATGATGTAAAATAAGACTGGCTTCTGCAAAGTTGGTTCGGAGCGACTTGAGCGCTTCCGCCTCACCTTTGGCAACTTTTCGGCTCTGTCTCCCTTGTTTTGCAGGCTTGCTTTCGGGCACCGTAAAGGAATCCAGAGCACTGGGAACCACCACGCATCCAGAGATCAACTTTGAACAATGTGACCCTGGCCTTCGCAGATCTGTGAAAAGGAAGCCGGCACCCCCGTCGCTCGAAAAGGTGGAGCTACGTTTGCTGTCACGACCAAAGCAAAGCCGGATCTGCCGGGACGAAATGGCCGGCCCTTCCCTAACCCCGAAAGAGGGAAGAGGACTGCACCCTTCCAAAACCCTCCTGGCAGTTTCCATAATGGTTGGAAGATAATATGCCCCTTTTAAGATCTCTCACTGTGGCATGTAACTTAAAATGGCCAACAATTCACCCAACCATTCCATCTACCCATCTGGGGTACGCGGCCAATCATATGGGAAAGGATCAAACTTAACACCAGACTATGGACCGCGGGTTTGAGGCCTTGCCATTTACCTTCCCCTTCCTTCCACCAACATGCCACCTATGCGAGGGTCCCTGGAAGATCAAGTTCCTCTTGAAGGGCGTCATGGCAACGTGGAAGAAAGGGTTAATTAACAACTATCTATTACTTCACCGCACCCAGGGTTCCACGTTTTGACCACCCCAGGGCACTTAAACCAGTGGCTCATTCCCCCCAAAAGCAGAACCCTGGGTTGAAGTCCATCTTGTAGTGAAAAAGTGGAACCCTCGCCACACCTCGTTTCGTCCATGTCCAGCAGTCCCGCCTCGTCGGCTGCATCGAGCTCGAGGCTCTCCTGCGAGCGATGTGGGCACACATTTGTTGTGGGCATTCAACGAGACAAACGAAAAACCGGCCGGAGGGTTCATGGGGATCTTCTCAAGCCACAAAAGCAGAAGGGGAAGAGTTCCTTGGCCATGACTCTTTGGCCATGCCTTTTTCCGGACGCCCTTCCGATCCCCGCACGATGGCTCCTTCCGACCCCCACACCTGCGGGATCTGTGCCGGCCCAGGGAAATGGCCCAGGGGGGGCCAACACGGCCGGAGCGCCACAAGCCCAGCTTGGCTCACGAGCTCCAAAGCCTCAGCCTGAAACAAAACAAAAAACCTAGTGTGAGGGTACCCTTCCAACACGGAAGTCTTCCCAATGCTGTCAGTTGCTGCGACTGCTGGAAAGTAACGTCTTCTGTTCTGCAAGCTCGCAATCGCCAACGGCTCTAGAACGCATTTTCACATCGCAGCGCCTATTTCTTTGCGCTGGCTGACACTTTGGCAGCCCAACAGCGCGTCAAGGCCAGGTGAAAACAGTCAAGTGCACTCACAGGCTACAGCTAATCATCCCCGTCACCGTACTGAGATGGGGCTTGATCAAAATGCCCTTTACATGGGATGATCATTGGGGAAAACCACTGATGTTGTGTCCCACTACATGGGACAGGTTACCCATGGTCATTTGGGGGCCGAAGGGAATATTGATCAACCCCCATGTTTGGATGTAGAGCCATTCAGCCCCCAAAGCTCGCTTCGGTCTATGAAACGACCTTCTTCACCTTCTCCGTGAGCGTGGCAAGGCCTGCGCAGCCAGCGACGGATAGATATCGAGAGTCCTCGCCGCCACTTTCCCCGCGACCCAAACAAACCCAAAAAACTTTGGGGGTGACCAAAATTCCCACCTCCCGAAGTCCCACCACCTTTGGGGGTGACCAAAATTCCCACCTCCCGAAGTCCCACCCCATCCCAACGGCTTCTCGGCTCCAAGCTCAGCCGCGCGTTGCTCAGGCCTCCGCAGTGCATGAGCAAATTCAGCGCCCCGCAGCACACCAGCGTGAAGCCCGCCGCCAGATCCAGCACGTCCGTCAGGGAACTGAGGCAAGAGACCAGACACCAAGGGGCTCCACTAGCTCCAAACCGCCCAGAAATTCGAGCGCCGTTCCTTTTTCGGGGCCAGTTCAGGCCACCATTAAAACACCTGCGGATAACAACACCATTACTTACTTCAGGAACTTCGAGATCGGTACGCTTAAGGACCACGGGCTTCACGGGCACCACGGGCTTCACGGGCACGGGCTTCACGGGCTTCACGGGCACCACGGGCATCACGGGCACGGGCTTCACGGGCACCACGGGCATCACGGGCACGGGCTTCACGGGCACCACGGGCACCACGGGCTTCACGGGCAGCACGGGCACCACACGCGCACCACACGCACCACGGGCAACACGGGCAGCACAGGCAGCACGGGCACCACGGGCATCATACGCAGCACAGGCAGCATAGGCTCCACGAAGGCTCAACGAAGGCTCCACAAGTATGTGCCCGATAAACAAGAAAACCCAAATGCCATAAGGAACTTCAAAATCTTCAAAGCCAACATCTCTAAAATACTGGCGAGCTGCACAGAAGGCCACCCAACGAAAGAGAGAATGAAAACACTGTAGGTTTGCAGAACAGTCGAACGGTCAATGAGCAATCCAAGCGCCACGCCCTCCGTTCCAGGCCAAGCTACACAACGGAGCTGCTACTTTAGGTTTGCCCCTTGTCTGCCCCCAACCTTCGTCAAGGCAACTAATTCTTGACAGCTTCGCGCCAGGCTTGCAAAGACTGATGCTAAAACGAACTAGCACAAGATAGAAACTGTTCATCCCCATCCTCGTCGAGGCGACTAATTACTAGCGGCTTCGCGCCAGGCTTGCAAAGGGCGGGATGCCAAAGCGAACCAGCAAGATAGAAACTGTGGGATTTGGTCCACCGTCACCAAGGTGAGTGCCCCCCAACGGACTCACGTCAGGCGTGCAAAGGGTGGAATCTCAGCGCTTCCAACTCGAAACAAGAAGCATGTCAAAAACATGTGCTTGCGCAGGATCACATCTTCCATCCGAGATCTACCCATGGCTTCACCAAGGCGAAAACCCCAAAGACTTTGCGCTAGGCCTCGCCCTCACAGGTGCAACAGGCTCAGGGGCATCAGCATCCAAATCTATTGGTGCCGCCACAGGCTTCTTCTGCTCTTTCTTGATCCGTGGCGCCTTCTCAGCCTTGCTCCTCACACGGTCTGCCAAGGTAGAGAAGGGAAGCTGGCACAGCATCATGAGTTCGTTGTGAAAGCGACGCAGTGCGAGTTCATCTGCGCAGTCTGGCAGGTCCACAAAAACTCTTGGGCAGTTCGGACGCTCTTCAGCATCAGCCCCGCAACAATACCTCGCAATGCGGCTGTCCCGCAAGCCCGCCTCCATCACTGCCTTCCAGTGATGGATTTTCACAGCGGTGCGCTGGAACTTAGCGCCTGAAGAGCCAGGGCATTCCACCTTCTTCCTGACAACTGTGGAGTCGATGACCCGGAAACCGAAGATGCAAGGCTCTCCTCGCAAAAGCGTGCGCTGCATGAGGGCCTTGCTGGTGCAACTTTCGACCCAAGTACTTCATCCACTACATAACGGGTGGCTCGGAAGAATGGAAATAGGACAGGCACACTCTGACATCTCCTCTGCAAAACACAAGCACGTCAATGCCCCCGCCCAAGCATAGCCTCTGCAAGTTCTGGAACCTCCGCACGGGGTTCGCCGCGACCACAATGCATTCGCACAGAGCCACAGCGAGAACGCTTCGACACGCAGGGTCTCCGCAGAGGCAACGCCGAGGTCAAGACATATTCAAAGTGCGCACCTCGAAGGTTCGCCGAGGTCAACACAGCGCCGCGACGAGAGCGCTTTGACGCGGAGTGAGGGCGCATCGACACGCGCAATCTCTACAAAAGACTCACCGAATTTCGGCATATTCGCACGGCGCCACAGCGAGAGCTTGGTCTCACCCAAGGGCTTGCCGAGCTCAAGACGCATTCGCACGGAGCCACGGCGAGAGTCGAATAGCTCCGCAGAGGGTTTGCCGGCTCAGAAGAAGAATCACGGTTGGCAGGAGAGGCTGGCAGGCGAAGTAACTTGCGAAAAGTTCGCATGAGATGTTGCAGGCGAAGTTTGTAGCCGCCTTTAGGAAAAGAACCCATGCTTCCGGGAACTTGACGAAAACTCAAATGCTTGCACACAGGCTTGCTAGTTTCAGCCTGCAGCACTCTGTCGCTCATCACAACTTCTCCCAGCGCCGGGTCTTGCACCGAAGCTCCGTTCTCCCCGTATCCACACGTCAGGGCAGGGACGTCAGGGTCCATTATGGTGAGAAGCGCTGGCAACTCTTCCCCAGCTTCTGCAAGAACGTCATCATCCTCCACCGCTTCGAAAGCCCCGAACTGCGACGTTGGTAACCTGCCCGCTTCCTGCGCTGCTGCCAACTTCTGGGCTGCAGACAAAGTCCAAGCCCCTGAGTCCTCCACCTTCGCAAATGCCTCCTGCTGACACCAAATGTCGACAAGCGCGTGGGAAACTTGGACTTGTTCCCAGGCCCTCAAGATGTGGTGATCCTGGATCTGCACCTGCGTGGTCTCCTCAATGGAAAGTTCCCAAATCAGGTTGGCAGCCGCCAACATGGCAATGTGCCACGGAGCGCAGCCTGCGCGTGCAGCGCTCCCATTGTCATCTGCTCCGTTTCTGAGCAAGGCGCCGCGTGTGTTGCAGCACGCCTGCAGACCTGTGAAGACTGCCCGGGCTTCCGCGCTCATGTCGATGCGGGAGTTAGCCGTCTCGAAGAATGAGACAACTCTTCGTGCAAGGGACTGAACGTCTTCACCTTCTGGCATGGGGATGTTTCTGTTGCTGGTTCGAAAGTGGGCCTTGTAGTACCTCTGCCCTCCCTTGACCTGGGCCAGCCAAGTGACACCAACACACAGGCGTGCATGCTTTTGAGCATCGCTGTCAACCTGAACGAAAACGGGAGAACCGGCCGCTTACAGGAAACTTGTGCAGAAACGACAAACCTTCTTAAGGTCAAGATGCCTCCGCCACGCGGAACCGAAGCAAAGTCTCGGTGCCATCGGCAAGGACCATGTTGTACACCTGATCCCCATGCCCGTCAGCGTCGCGGCAGGCTGGGGCGAACAACTTCGCAGCCACCTGGTGGCGGTTCGCGCCAGCAGGCAGCCCGAGGGGCTCGAGCATGCAGTCCAACAACGGCGCCCAGATCCTCAGAACTTGCCAGGAGTTACCCATTTGAAATGAAAACCGCGGCCCCCAAATCAAATAAAGAAGGACCAAGTCTAAGTGTCCACGGATCAAAGTCAGCTGGGACGTCCAGGCTGGCGGGGAGCGGGGCATGCGGGTCAACTGGTCTTCCGCACGTTTGCAGCAGGCGCTCGCGACAAGCAACGTCGTGCGAGCCGCTGGCGCCGGTCAAGCAAGGCACGTACTTGGAGGGATGAACATTGCCAAAGCCGAGCACACCAACTGGGGCCTTGTTCCTCGTGGTGCCGAAAGACCCCGCGTTCTTGCATGCGTAAGAACTTCGCCCCGTCTGGAGAATGCGATTCAGTTCGGACGCCAGCTCCGCAGCCTCGCCGGACTTAGCGCTGGCGCCGCTCCCAATCAATCCGACCATCCGCAGGAAGCGATACGCTTCGTCCAGATTGAGGAGGTTGGACATGTGCACCCTGCCAGCACTACCGTCAGACCACTGCACCTGCGGCCACTGAGGGCTGCAGCGTTGGAGGAATGCCTGCTCCGTGAACATAGCCAACATGACACTGGTAAGTTTCCCTGGCTCCTCTGGACCATGCTGCGCGGCCCTTCTCTGGCACGCCTCATCAATGACGGCCGAAATGTCATCAAGCACTTGGGTAAGCTGCGACTTGCGTGTCTGGGTCACATTGCAATTGAGAGCAATGAGGCTGAGAGGCGAAGAAGAGCCTGGAAACACTTCTACAACGGCACCGTTGGCGCAGCTGCAAAGGGCTATCTGCAAAGACAGCCCCAGAGGCATCGCCGGCGTAGATGCTCGTGCAGCAAGACGTTGGACAATTTGAGACCCGCGTTCGCCATAGATCTCCTCGATCTTGAACACTCTATCAACATAGTCATAGGCTGCGTTCCTCTGGGCCGAGAAGTCCTCCTCCGGCTTTGCGGCTGGCTCTTTTCGCGACATCCGGCCAACACAAAGGGACTGCGCCTACCTACCGCCCGGAACCGCTAGTTGCCTCGCAGCGCTCGCCCTTGGCAAGAGCTCAAACCAAATCGCACAACACACAGGTCGCGCGCAGCCGCGCAAAGGAAGATGCGTGTGGGGCTCAGGCTCTGCTGCTGGCATCTCAGCCAGCCTGCGCTGCACGGCGCCCTGCTATCTCACTCACGCTATCGACGCTGTCGAGAACGGGGGCCAAACGTGTTGTTTGCCCTCGCTTCCAGGAACTCGCCCGAAACTGACTATAGGGTTCAGTAGGCACGTTTTTGCCCGCAATACACATACTGCTGTCTAACCCTGGCGGCGTGGTCAACGCTCGGTCAATCCCTTTTACACAGTCTGCCAGTCTCAGCCATTCAGCCGCGTTTCATGGCACAACAGGAAAAGCTAGATAGAACATGTAGCTGAGCACCCAAAACAACACTTCAACACGCTTGGGACCAAAAGAAAGCATAGATAAGAGATCGTCAGGACGTGACCGTAAAACTTGCTCACGGCTTGGGAATGCACAGCGCAAGCCTGGCCAGAGCCTAACTAAACATCAGATGTTCCAACAGTGCCTGAGCGGGCACGAAAGAAGCCACCTCTGAAGCCACTCGAAGGAGGGCCCCGCAGCGATTCAACTCCGCAGCATCAACTTCTAGAAGAGGGAAACAAGGGGTTTAAAACCCTTCTAGACAAGGTCCCTGGAAACGGGCAAGTGTGGACCGGGATCACAGACTTGCTACGCAGCACAAACGAATGGGTCTCACCGTTCCATTCTCCCTGTTGAATGCGCCGCGCAGAAAGTCTAGATCCAGGCG